AGTATCAAATTTACAATAGAAAAAGAAATAAATAATAACATCAGTTTCTTAGAATTATCCATTGAATAAACACACGAGAACCTACAACTAGGACTCTATCAAAAACCAACAACTACTGATCTAATCATCCACAATGATTCATGTCACCCATTTGAACACAAAAGAGCAGCTACAAACCTTCTCATTAATCGATTGCATCAATATCCCCTTTCACATAACATAAAAACACAGAAGAAAACATTGTTAGAACTATTCTAAATAATAACTACCCACAAAATACCATACAACTAACACAAAAACCATCTACAAAAAATATTATGCAGACAAATAAATGGACCACCTTCACCTATTTCGGCCATGAAATCAGATTTATTACTAAACTTTTCATGAATACTGAAGTTGGTATCTCATATAAAACAAAAAACAATATAAAACATCTGTTGAAAATAAATGATGACAAAAATGATTTATATAATCTTACTGGGGTTCACCAACTACAATGTGCCAACTGTCCATTAAAATATATAGGACAGACCAACGTAACTTTAAAGTCAGATTCAAAGAACACATGAGACATAAGAAATAACAGACAAAGCTCCAGATTTGCTCAACATATATTGGACACCACACATGAATATAGTATGATAGGCAAAACATTAGAAGTTCTATATATATCGGCAAGAAAGGCCGAACCTTGGATACATATGAAAGATTTCACATCTACGAAATCAGCAAACTAAATTTGCAACTGAATGATAATTTTACCGAAATGTTTAACCCTACATAAACAGCTTGGAGGCAGGTTAAGGTGACGTTTATTCCAAAGCCCGGGAAACTTGATTATACCGAGGCTAAGGCTTATCGTCCTATCAGTCTGTCATCTTTCCTTTTGAAAACGATGGAGAAACTAGTGGATAGGCATAACAGGGATGGGTATTGAGGACACATCCTCTACACCGAAACCAACATGCCTACCAAACAGGTATATTTACCGAAAGTGCACTACACAATGTGGTAACACGCATAGAAAGTGCAATTGAACACAAGGATATTGCCTTAGGAGAGTTCCTTGATATAGAGGGAGCTTTTGATAGAACCTCATTTGATGTAATAAAGCAGGCTGCTGGAAGGCATGGCATAGAGCCTGCAATATGCAGATAGATCAATGCTATGCTGGAAAGCAGAACCATAGCTGCTGCATTATCAGGAGAAACCCTGGGGGTGTCCGCATCTAGGGGATATCCGCAGGGGGGCGTACTTTCGCCTCTGCTGTGGGGTCTGGTCGTTGACGAACTCCTGTGGGGACTTAATGATGATGGGTATTATACAGTAGGATATGCTGATGATATAGCAATCCTCATAAATGGAAAATTCCTTTCGACCGTATCAGAGCGCCTCCAGACAGCTCTGTACACGGTCCAACGATGGTGTGAAAGAATAGGTCTTTCCATCAATCCCAATAAGACGGTAATTATGCCGTTTACTAGGAAAGGAAATATAAAGGGTCTTAAGGAACCGACTCTCTTCAATAAGACAATCCAGCTCTCCAGCGATGTCAAGTACTTTGGTCTAGAATTGGACAAGGGACTGACATGGAAAAAGCAGCTGGACAAAGTCATTAAAAAAGCCTATAAGGCTTTTTGGACATGCAGAAGCATGTTTGGTAAAACTTGGGGACTGCAGCCACATGTTATACATTGGATATACACTGCGGTTGTGAGACCCATAATTACTTATGGTGCCACAGTTTGGTGGCCCAGAGTTAAATTTAAGACAAGCAAGAGAGAACTTAGCAAATTGGAAAGGTTGGCTTGCGTAGGTATCACAGGAGCGTTTTGAACATCTCCAACAGCTGCAATAGAGATACTCCTTGGATTTGCCCCACTGCATGTACAGTTGGATGAAGAGGACAGGGCAGGAATTTACCGTCTCCATTGCAGTGGACAATGGAAACCTAAATCTGATGGTTTTGGCCATGCATACATGACTCAGGACATGGAAAAAGAACCAATATTACAAATGGGGTCTGATAAAATGATACTGAGATATGTATATTCAAAACCTTTCACGGTCAGATTTCCTGACAGGAGTGAATGGGAAGACAGGTTTCGGCCCGATATAAAAGGGGGACTGATCTGGTATACAGATGGTTCCAAGACAAATAAGGGCACTGGAGCTGGTGTGCAGTGCAGTACATGATAGTATTCCAGGCAGAAGTATATGCCATTAAAGCATGTATTATGGAGAATTTAGATAGTAACTATAGAAATAGGAACATCTACATTCTATCGGACAGCCAAGCTGCACTTAAAGCGCTTGACAAACACCAGTGTGGGAGCAAGTAAAACAGCACTATTCACACAGTAGCCATATATATTCTCTCTCTCTTTTCCATAGAGGTTGAAAGTTAGGAGAGGAACATATTACATAGAGGAAGAAATGCGATGGTGGTGCAGTTGTAGTTAAGAGACGTCAGTCCTCCACATCCTCCCCACCCTGGACGATCTCCAGTGGGATGACCAGCTGCACAGATCGGCTGACGTTGGCACAGTTGGCTGTCCGGAGGATGACTGTCCGCACATTTCCGTCCCGGCCAGGTCGCGTTTCGTGGATTCGAGCCTTCTGCCACATGTGCCGTGGTCGTAGATCGTCCTGAAGTAAAACGATATCTCCTACACGATATTCCATAGATCTTCCCTTAGGGTGCAGCACCTGGTGATAACTTCGCAGTTCGAGATACTCCTTCTGCCACAGCTTTATTATATATATTATTTATTATACTGTAATTTGGTTTTAGCCCGGTGGCAGTAGTACACAATTGGACACAACAGACAAGTAACACACATTACACTAAGTGACAACACGTTCAAATAAAGTACAATACACAAAACACAACAATAAGGACATCCTACCACAATGAATACAATGACTACAATACGATTAACAACTACAACAATTACAGAGAAATACAAACAACTGCAACAAATACAACAATTACAGAGAGAGAGAGAGAAGAAAAAAATACAAAACACAAACAAAAGGAAAGAAACAGTCATGGATGCGTAATGTCATTTACTTCACTTCACTTCACTTCACTTCACTGCAATTTTTTTCTTTTTAATTATTTCCACCCCAACTTCACTTCGCCTCATTTATCACTTTCCTAATCCTTTGCCTAAAATTGCTTGGTTTACAGGACAGAGTACCTAAAGCATCTGCAGGCAGTTGGTTCCAGAGCTGTATGGTCCTATTTACAAAGGAGTATTTCCCGATATCTGTCCGTTGCTTTCTACTCCTAATTTTCTTGCCATGATCACCCCCGCTCAGATAGCATGGTGTTTCTAATCTGTCACCTATAGCCTTCCAAGCCAGTTCTCCCATGTATGTTTGAAGAGAGCACATATGCGAGCTATCTTTCTGCGTTCTGTCAAGGTTTCCCAGTTCGATTCGTTCCTATGGTGTGCAAATTTAGCCGCTTTCTTTTGCACCCGGTCTAACGCATTTATCTGTCCCTCCCTGTAAGGATCCCAGCACGCCGCCCCATATTCCAGAATCGGACGCACTAAAGATGTGTATGCTAGACTTTTAGTTTTGCTATTTCCCTTTTTTAGAATACGCATTGTAAAATGAAGTGCCTTCCAGGCTCTTTTCACAGTGTAATTAACTTGATCAGACCAGCTTAGGTCGCTGCGTAAAATTATTCCCAGATATTTACAGTTGCTCGCTTCTGGGATTACTGTGCCCCCTAACGAATAATATAGTGGCTCCGTTACTCGAGCCCCCGTGAAACAAACTGCCTTACTTTTAGTTGGATTAATTTTTATCTCATTTTCAACCGCCCATTTCCAACCGCCCATTTCCCAAGTCTGTTCAGAACTATCTGCAACTTTTCCTTATCATTATTATTTTTAATTTTCCTATATATTATACAGTCATCCGCGAATAGCCTAATAGTTGACTCAATATTTCTCCAAATATCATTGACGTAGGCGAGGAACAGTAGTGGGCCCAGCACACTTCCTTGCGGTACTCCTGACGTTGTTCTGACTTCCTCCGATAGTTGCCCTCCTACTCTGACTCTCTGCGTACGGCCCAAAAGGAATTCCCTTATCCATATAACTATCCTTGAGTCCACTCCTGAGGCCGAAATTTTCGTAAGCAGACGATCATGAAAGAAACTAAATCGAAGGCCTTCGAAAAATCTATTACAATTGTGTCTATCCTACTTCCGTTATCCAGTGAGTCTGCAATGTCTTGGTAGACCGTGATTATTTGACTTTCACATGAATATCCCGGCCTGAAGCCATGCTGAACCTCAAATAACCAATTATTTTTATCCCATATTTTCCTCCGGTACGATGCTATAACGTGTTCCGTTTGCTTGCACACTACTGAGGTTAAACTGACGGGTCTATAATTGGAGACCAGCGATCGATCACCTCCCTTGTAAAGAGGAACCACTATGGCCTGTTTCCAATCACCTGGAATAGCGGCATTATTAATTGTCACATCCAGTAATCGCGCCAGGTATGGAATCATGGCTTCCCCACCCAGTTTTAGAATTTCACCAGAAATGCTGTCTGGCCCTACTGATTTGTTCTTACCTATCGTTGCTAACCTTTTCCTAATAATTTTCGTACTAACTGCGAAGGGTTCCCCTGAGATATCGTGCTGTATTTGTGGGATGCTACGCTCACTGCTGAATACGGAAGAATAATATAAGTTGAGGAAGTTAGCCTTTTCTATCGAATCAGTAACGAGTCGTCCATTAACATCTTTGATTGCAGGAATATTTTCCCTATTTCCTTTGCGTCTTTTTACATACTTATAGAACTCAGTCCAGCAGTTACCTTCATTTTTTAATACAGTCCTTAAAAATATCTCCTGCGCATTTTGCTTGGCTAATAACAACTGCTTGGATAATCGCTTCAGTTCCTCTCGATACTGCTGCCCTAATTTTCTTCTATTATATGCTTTTCTGACCTTTAATTTTAATTTTTTCACTTCCTTATTGTAGTAGTCAGGGTCTTTAGGAAGTCTTCCTGGATTTCCTCCCTAAGTCTGTCTTCTTTTCTGAGGTTGTCTCGGGTGGTGGGCTCCAGACCGGTGGGCAATGCTGTCAAGCGTTCACCATTCAGAAAGTGAGTTGGCGCCAGCACATCGGAGTCGTCTTGAACGATTGGTCTAGAATTTATGGTGGCTTCTACTTCCATTAACAGTGTTCCAAGGGCTTCTTCATTGATTTGGCTTTTACCCAACACCTTTCTTAGGCAACGTTTTACTGTTCCCACCATTTGTTCCCACCAGCCTCCCCACCAAGCCGCCCGTGATGCGATGAATTTCCACGAGATTCCGTTGTGGGCGAAGTGCTGGCTTGTTCGTTGGTCGGCAAAAACCTGACTGAGCTCTGCCAACTCCTTGCTAGCAGCGTGGAACGTCCTCACGTTGTCAAAGTATATGGTTTGTGGGATTCCTCTTCTTCCGGAGAACCTTCTAAAGGCCATTAGAAACTTGTCGGTACCCATATCCGAGGCAAGCTCAAGATGCAGAGCTCTGGTTGTTGCGCAGGTGAAGAGTACGATGTAAGCTTTCTGTGTCAGGCTCCCCACCTTGACATAGAGGGGACCTGCGAAATCAACACCGGTGACGGTGAAGGGCTTAGTGGGTTTGAGACGATCGGCTGGCAGTGGTGCTTCAATTTCTTGGCCTCGGGTGTTTTTCGAAATTTTGCAGGGCAGGCAGTGGTGTAGTGCCTTTTTTATCGTCTGTCGGGCTCTCAGGATCCAAAATTCATCTCTCAGCTCTGACAACACCATGCGAAGTCCGAGATGATGTAGGCGAATGTGTGTCTGTTGTATTAGCAATTTCGTGAAGTGATGTTGCCCATTGAGTAGAAGTGGGTGACACTGCTCTCTCGTTAGCGGTGCAAAGTGTAGCCGTCCGCCGAGATGAATGAGTCCAGAGTCTAAGAATGTGTTGAAACAAGCGATTTTGGACTCTTCCGGTAGTGGTGTGTTGTTCCGAAGTGCATAAAGCTCGACAGCGAAGAATTCCTCTGGTACAGTCTGAATCCAGTAGGCACGAGCCGCCGGGAGTCCCGCCACAGTCAGTTCGCCTCGAAGTCTCTCTTGATGGAGTAGTGATTGCTTGAAACGAAAGATCCAAGCGATCGTGCGTATCAACTTCCAGTGGGAACTGAATCTGGTAGCATATATCAATGAAGAATGAATTCCCAAAAGAAGAACTGTTTGAGTCCGCGGGCGCTTTTCATCTGGCAGCAGGCTGCTTGAAGTGGGAAGGTTCTTGGGCCATTCTCGCGGAGGAAGAGATAGCCATGAATGTCCATGTCACCATTTATCCAAAGACTTCAGTCGATCTGCTGTGATGCCCCTCGAAAGATGATCAGCTGGATTCCTTTCTCCAGGGCAGTGTCTCCATTGCGAAGGCGTCGTGTACGTTTGTATTTCCGTAACCCTTTTGCATACGAAGGTTCTCCAGCGGTTTGGGTCTTCACGTATCCAGCCTAATGTCACCATGGAGTCAGTCCAAAGAGTTGCTGCTTGACTGTGAAACCCCGTCTCCCAACAGTAATAGCGTAGCAGCCTGGCACCTATCAGTGCTGCGAGGAGCTCCAGTCGTGGTAAGGTCACCTTCTTTACAGGCGCAAGTCTGTTTCTGCTGCAGACCAGCTGGACCCTGACGCGGCTCTTACCCTCCGTTCTGATGTACAGTGCCGCACCATATGCCCGTTCGGAGGCATCGCATAAGACATGGATGTGAGAATCGCCATCTTCCGAAGTGTGTACACAACGGGGAATGTGTATGCTTGATAAGGATGGTAGTGTCGCTACCCACGTGTGCCATTATAGTCCAAGGTCTTGTGGTAGGAGTTCATCCCAGCCCATCACTCGACACCATGTAACCTGGAATAATCTTTTCCCAATGATGGAAACAGGTGATGCTAGGCCAAGGGGATCGTAAAGTATGGCCGCGGCTTTCAGCAAGTTCCTTTTTGTGGTGGGTCCCTTCGTTACCTTGTTTGTAATGACCTCATGATCGATGGAGAATATATCGGTTTCTGAATTCCAATTGACGGCCAATACTTGGGTTTCTGCGTCGAATCTCTGTCCCTCAGCAGTCCAAACTGTTTTTAACTGCGCGGAATTTGAGGCCCATTTTGCCATAGGGAGTCGAATTTGTCTCATAAGGGATGTAAGCTTGTAGTACAGTGCGATTGCCTCAACTTCGTTTTCTGCACCTGCGGCGAAGTCGTCAACATATGTGCTGTTGACCATAAGGGATGCAGCATGGAAATGTCTGCTTGTAACGATCAGCAAGTTCTCGCAGTGTAGCGGCAAGCAGAAAAGGACTGCAAGTCAGCCCAAAAGGAAGCCTTTTGAAACGGTAAGTTGTTATGTCGCTTGTAGTTTCGTAACCGTGTTCATCGTCACCAACCACTCGGTACCAAAGGAATCTTGTTAAGTCCCTGTCATCTTGATCTAGGACAAGCTGTAAAAATGCCTGGCTGACATCACCAATAAACGCTGAAGGGTATAGCCTGAATCTCAGAAGAATGGACAAGGTTTCTGGAAGAAGGTTTGGTCCAATGTCCAGAGCGTCATTGAGCGAGGGCGCGTATTTTTCACGCGAGGGCCCATCAAACACGATCCTCCACTTGATATTCCCACGCCTTTCCTTCTTTACCAGATGGTGTGGCAGATAATAACTCTCCTTAGAGTCTTGTATAGGCTCGGCGATTTCCACATGACCCTTTCTTACATAATCTAGCATCTGAGAGTAATAAACTTCCTGCAGACCTGCATCTCTGTCAAGTCTCTTCTGCAGTGTCTGAAATCGTTTTTCTGCATTTTGGCGATTGGTCGGTAGGGTTATATTCCCCTTTCTCATAAGAGAAACTACTCTTCGCTTGTCTTCAATGCGGTGGGAGTTGTGGAATCGCTAGAGGATGGCAGTGTCCTATGCACCTAAATATCGGTCTTGGTCTGGCGAGATTCCGATGACATCCAAATCCCATAGGCGTCGAAATCATCATCTGAATGAGGGACGTAGTGGCCCGACTCAATGTAGTTAACGACTACCGAGCTGACGGCGATCCAAGATCGATTTCCACTGAGTACCCAACCCAGCTTGGACGGGATCAGTACTAGTGATTGCGACAGTCGTACTGGCGTATCATTTTGACTATCTTCCAGTAATGGTCACCTCCGATGAGAATCTAGGTAGGAAGATCGTCGTTTTCGTCCTTCGGGTCGGCGAGTTGCATTTTGCGTGTGCGTCCCAAAACGTCGACTTCATGCGGTACAGTCGGGTGAGCTGAGAAGGCGTGAGCACTCTCAAACGCAGTGAGGGGTGTTGTAGAGTTAGTCCAGATACCCTTTAGATCCAATCGGACGAGTCTACATCGATTTGAAAGAACAGATGGCATCTCCAAGGCGCTGACTGCTAGCTGTCGACTTTCTATTGTTTCTAACTTCAGGTCCTCTATTATTGAGTTAGTGATGAAGCTGGATTGACTGCCGCCATCCAGTACGCATCTAGTAAGTTTGCTTATACCTGTGGGCCCCTAATCCAGACACGTGCGGTCTGCAGATAGGTAAAATCAGAAGAGGCAACTCCTACATTGCCGACTGAGATGGGTGGTCGGGCAGTATTGCGTTCCGTGCTGTTGCATATGGATCTGTGGTGACTCCTCTTGCAAATCGTGCACAATGCTCTTCCTTTCTTGCTACAAGTGCGGGCATTGTGGCCTCGATTGAGGCAAAGCAGCGGTTTGCGGCCTTCGGCTTCTCTGTGCGGCTGCGAGTATCAGTGACAGTATAGCAGTCTTGGGCCCAGTGGCGGCGGCTCTCGCAAAAGACGCAGAAGGGCTCTGTAGGTTATTTAATTCTTCGAATATTCTTCTGGGTGTTCGAGCTGATATGGAAGGTCGCCGCCGCTGGAGTGGGGTCAGACACGCTCGAACTCTCGCCGCGAATTTTCTGGGTAGTTATGGCTCCCTCTACTTCAACGCTCAGAAACTCCATTAATTTTATGATATCACCCTCAGAGAGCTGTTCCCTCTTCACGTGAACGATCCATCTCCTGCATACATCGTCAGGGAATGCGCGAAGTATTTTTGGCGCCAGTACTCTACCGTAGGCGTTAACGTCTTCCCCTATCGCCTGGAGGGCCTGGATACGTCTGTTACACTCTATGAACGTAGTATTGAGAGCTTCGGGGGACGCGGTCGTAATCGGCGTGACGTCTTGTAGGTAGTCTAGGTGGGCCTGTATTATGCGGTTCCGGTCCCCATACCGTTCGCGAAGAATCTTCTTGGTGTCCTTATATGTTGATGCTGAAACAGAGATGCCCTCCACCAACAGCTTCGGCTCTCCCTCAAAATAGCCTTGGAGAAATACGTGTTTGTTAACAGCTAAGAGGATGGGTCCTTATCAATGGATGACTCGAATTGTTCCCAGAAGCGTGACCGGCTTTCCACGTCTCCTGAGAACGGCTCTAACTTGATGGGAGGTAATTTGACCGAATGAACAAACGATTGGGTGGGAACAGCCGCAGCGGAGGTCTCACTGGTTGTTAAATCGGCCGTTGCCGCAGAAAGCCTCATCGATCCCTCGCACTGCCTTCTGGATCGGGCGCTTGGCAGTGTCGATATATTCTTCACAAATCGCCACGTCTGTGTCGTATTCATCATCCGCGAGGAGGTCGTGGATGGAGTCGTCCAGTCGCAACATACGTTCTAACGCTTCCTCGACGCGTCCCTTGTAATGTTCATAATCGTCAAGGGAAGTCTCTCCTGTGAACTAGTTAACTGTATTGGCGAAAGGCGTAATGTTATTTCGCTCCCTTGCACGTTCCTCTTAACCCTTTCTGCCCGAGTGATTCCATTTGGAATCGCTAACTCTCTTGGCTTTTGAAGCCCATATTATGCGGCGAATGATTCCAGTTGGCATCATACGTTATAGTTCCTTTCTTTGGGGACAGATCGGAGCAGTTCTTTGATGGGTCGCTATCGACTGTTCATTCACATGCTTCTGATGTTTGTTGACATGCAAATGGCGTTGGAAGTTCCGACTGCACTTGATTCTTTATAAATTACTAACAGGTATGCATTATACAGGGTGCCCAAGAGGAATGTGCCAAATTTCGGGTGTTCCTTATGTTAAAGTATGCCGATATAACCCAAAACACCTATGTGCAAGTCGAACAGTTACGGATATAATGGCCAGAGAAGTGTGAAACTTTGACCGGTGTTACACACTTGTTAATTATAACATACATATTAAAACTGGCAGGAATATGTGGTTTCTGTAATGTTAATAATGTACGTAACATCAAACTAACTGGTGAGTGACATGAAACCATAAAATTGAAGTACAAAATACTCGCTCGCCACGTCATAATTGTCCTTAGGTTTCCAAGCACTATACATGACACATGACTGGCAAGCGCTGACGTAACATGGCTGACTGTGCTATAAGCCGACCACATAACTGTATTAAACGTACATTCAAGGAAAATCTCTTTTGGAATTTCGTTTCCATTATCTCATGTGGATTATTATGGGACCACGTATGCATATTTCGTAAATTATTTACATCGTCCTGGGTAAAAGACGCCTCATCACTGAATGACGCTTAACAGTTCGGGATGAGCTTTTATCCAGTGGCACAAATCCATACGCTGTTCATGGTCGCCTGGTTCCAGATGTTGTACCCTTTGATCATGGTAAGGATACAACTCTTCATCATGTAACGTTCGCCACACCTGCATACGTGATACGCCGATGCGACAGGCCATTCTACGAGTGGACAGACGCGGACTTCTCTGAACCATCTCAAGAATGTTCTCTCGTGTGTTTATCATTCGTACATCCTCCCTTTCAGAGTGCACATAAACACTCGGAAGAGAACCAGTATCACGCAATGTCTGGTGAATTCGCGTAAATACATTTCGAGATGGAATCCTTCGATCGGGAAAATGCCTTTGATATTCTTCAAAATGCACATCACAATATTCCACGTGTGAAAACACAAAAGGCATTTCAGCAACTCCGCACAATTAACCTACCACCCATTCACTAACCGGCCGCAACGTATACTGAACGTAGCGCATTAGCTCACGGCTAGTGTGAGAATTACCTTTTAACTCCCTTTTGTTTTAACGCGCCATTGAATAATTTGCCGCAAAATTCACCACCATTGTCGGAACGAACAGCTCTTATAGTCAATCCAGTTTCTGTCTCAACCATTTTCATAAATTCTTTAAAGGCTTCATATGTGTCACCTTTTTGTTTCAAGAAATGAATGAAGATTTTTCTACCGTGATCATCCACAACAGTCAAAAAATATTTAGCATTCCCATAAGAGGGTACTTCAAATGGCCCAACCAGATCTAAATGTAAGTATCAAGTACCCTTTTTGACCGTTTGTTCTTTGATTGTAGGAGAGGCTTCTTTGTCATCTTGCCTTCCAGGCATGGAACACATTTCTTTGGACTGATCTTCTTGTTCTAGAAAATCAATGCCACTAGCTAAACCTTTTTTAAGCAACTGCATGCTAACCCTATTTAAATGCCCCAAACGCTTATGCCACAACAGTTGTTCATCAACTTGCTGGGTACTTGCAACTTGTTCATTCTTTACAATATTAGTACAAGATTTCTCACATGTGTCATTATTCTCTTTGGTATTAATCTTATCTTTAGTTGCGGTATTTGCATATTGGGTCAAGTTAGCTTTGGTATTTAAACAATAAATCCCATTTTTGGGATATGCTTTGGCAAGAACTTTGCCTGTTACCTTAAAATCATCAGAATCATATAAGTTGCAACAGTCTTTGGTGAATAACACAATCATACCCTTGTTTACAATTGAGTTGACAGATAACAAATTTGTAGACAATTTTGGTACATGCAATACATCTGAGATATGGCTAAAATTGTCATTCACAAGTTTTACATCACCAAAACCTGAACTAGTTAACACGTTGTCATCAGCAAGACTTATCTCATGTTCCTTAGAATCATGTGTTTTATAATTTTGCCAAACAGTCTTATTTCCGGTCATTTGGTGTGAAGCACCAGAGTCTATTACCCAAGTATCATCCTTAACTTTAACATGATAGGCAGATACCACATACATGGATTTTTACTGGTCTTATTTTTCCATTTATTTTCATTACACCTTTGATCGGATCCTTCTTCATTTTCATCAGTACTATTAACTGATTTTGAAGACTGATTGTCCTTAAATTTTTAGCCAACAGTTTTTGTTTATATGGCCTAGCTTACCACAAATTTTACATTTTGGTGGTTTACGTTTAAGCTTATCTGTGGACAGAAAGGTTGAATCTGAATTTGCATTTTTACCAAATTCAGTATCTTGCAATAGCTTAGAGTTAATGAGCTCACTAGTCAAAGCCACGTTGGAATTTTCAAGTGCCATATGCATGGGATAATACTCTTTAGTTAAACCCTTTAACATTAAAGAGGCTAATAGCTCATCATCTATTTTTTTGGCCACTGAGACTAATCTAAGATTTACTAACATGAAGGCATTAACATATTCCTGCATACTTTTATAGTCCTCAAGTTTCAAAGAGCACAAATCAGTTAAAATACTTATCCAACTATTGACACCCTGATCTTTGAATGTTCTTTCCAACGCGTCCCAGGCTTCCTTTGCTGTAGTTGTCTGGACAACATAAGATTTAACTTGGGGCTCCAATGTCAGACAAATGATGGCTCTGGCTTTCTTGTCCTTTTGTTTTGTTGAGGGATGCGGGAGTTGTATCTTCTGCAACATATCCACTGACTGCTGCCCACACAGTTTCAATCACTAGAACATTTTGAATGTCAAAGCACCATTCTCTATAATTTTCCCGTCCTTT